ATATATATATATATATATATATATATATATATATATATATATATATATATATGTGTGTGTGTGTGTGTGTGTGTGTGTGCAGATATGTAGAAAATAGGAAAAGAACGCGTTAGTTAAATAATCCGGAGGTCTTTAGTATTTTTGTTTTTATTTAAAAAAAAAACAGTGCTCCATACGCTTGGAACCGGAAGGAGGTTCCACAAACGAGAAGTGTGAGAAAAGAAACTGTTCGCATAGAATTTACTGTAAATTAGTGAGACCTCATCGCCAGTCTAGTACTGCGCTTAAATACGAAGAGTCTAGGCATCATAGCGGAGAACAATATTTGTTCTGATATGTACCCAAAGACGAAGCGGGGATTGGAAAAAGGACGGTCTTCTTCTGTCTTAACGATAACTTAGCAAGGCACAAACACTGACCGAATCATACAAACAATATTCCTTACATCAAAACAACACATTCTTACGTACCTTTCTTACTACATCTACCATAGTACCTCACTGTATCTATGAAAATACTAACTAGTCCCCATATGTACAATTCATTGTCTGTGGTGGGAAGGGAAATAAAACCACAATTCTAAAAACTATCCCCAATGAGTATTTACAATATGAAAACAAAACTATTTCCAAGAAACCAAAGAAAATAATAATAGCGAAGAGCTCATCCGACCAATTACCATGAAAGTATGTATAGAAAAGGTACAGAATGGCAACCTTACGGCGGTGTGGGAAAAATGCCTGAAGCCGAGTCGCCAGATCAGGACCAATAATATTGCCGATTCTTCTTTGGATTTTATCAAGGAGATCTAGATAGATAACAGGATAACCGGATCATATATAGCAGCAATATTCTAAGTATGAACGAGTGACAGAAAAATTTCTCACCATCATCTTCTTTGAAAAGTAAGCATTGAATTTATTTTAATTATATATATTATTGTCAAAATCTACGAAGGTATTTAGAAAAGACGATTCTACAAAAATTAAAATAAATAAAATAAAATACCATAAATGTGAATACGATGACAGAACATGGTAAAAAAATACCTTTTTTTGTTTCAGGAAATAGACATACATGACACTTTTTGATTTTTGTAATTGACTACTACTATGTCTCTCTGGCCACGTTCTGCGGAACACGTAGCGGAACACGCGGCAGCACCGAATCAAAAACAATGAAGTTCTCCTCCGGGCAAAGACGGAGTAGCTAGAAACGATCATGACTCGTCACCGACTTTGATGAACCGGACACGATGCTCGAATACCAGGCATCCACCTACCCAAACAAATCCTTTGCTTAGAGCTTACATCTGGCAAGAAACCTCATGGAGCACCATGTTTTCGATTCAAGTATCAGTTCAAAACTTGCTGATGACAACAATTGATCCGGTCAATTGAGAGACGGAAGCTACAGAAAGAACCAATTGGAGAAGAGCAGTCCACGAAAAGACAACATCCTTCGAAAACACCACAAGCCAAATAGAAGAGTACGAATAGATCCCAAAGAAAAGCCAGAGCTCGCCATTCCCCTAAACCCTCCTACCCTACCATGCAGTGGCTGAGGATGTCACTTCAGATCCTGCATAGGAATCATTTCACACAGAAGGAAATGTCAGTGAGCACCCCAATACTCAGCAAGGAGGTCTATTAAGACGACAATTAGATCTTAGTATAACTGTGTATCCCAGTATTATCTGTCTATATTTCTGAGATGAGGCATGATGTACATTATTCACATTATTCGGATTATTGTCCTCCTCTTTGTCGCCATATTTATTACAACGTTTCGGCAATTGTACGCTCCGACCATCTTCAGTTGGTTGGAATGTCGAAATGAAACCTTTTTTTCGCTCACTCGGGTAGAGTGTTCTAGTTCCACGTACCATGTTTAATGGGTGTCAGTTATCAGTTATCTCCTGTTAATTTCCCTCTGAAAGTTCTCCACTGCCTTAACCGGGTATTGAACTCACACTCCTTGGGTCCTGTCATTAAACATGGCACGTAGAACTAGAACAGTCTACCCCAATGAGCGAAATAAAGGGTTCACTTCGACATTCCAACCACCTGAAGAAGGCCGGAGCGTACAACGACCGAAACGTTGTAAAAAATATGGCGACAAAGATAAGAACAATAGTCCGAATAATGTGAATAATGTACCCCAGTATTGTATATAAAATGTTTTTATTTTTGGAATTAATGTTCTTTGAGTTGTTTTTATCCTTACTTCTGTCTCATTAAGTCGTTGGTATATCATGGATAGACTAATGGCTATAGTGAATATTAGGGAGTGAAGAAGACCAGCACACCATTAGATTTGCAAAGTTCAGATTTAGATTCACATTTGGAATTTTTCCCCAAAATCATGGAGCAGTGAATGAATAACAGGATATCAAGAAACTGGAAAGACAGTAACAGAGACATTGGAATATCATTATAATGGTGGATAAGTACAAACAACTGCCAGCAAAACAATGGTTTGTAGGAGAAAAAAAAACAACTGAAAAATCACAAAAGGTACAAATGGTAATAGTAACAATAATATCAACCGTTTCCTGATAAGGAAACATTCATTGATTATTAATTGAACAGTTAGCATTACGGTTATTTGAAATTTTTACAATCTTCCTTTTAAAACAGTTTTCAGGAAAATAGGTTTTTCAGTTTTTCTTTGTTATCGCTCTTTCTACAATCGGTAGGAGTTTCCTTCCTAATCTTTTGTTCAAAACAGTAAGGAAAGTCAACATCTTAATTAGTATAAAGTGTAGGAAAGCAGAAAATGATTATCTCCCTTTTAACAGGAAGAACTGACTCATGTCTTAAGAGCCTCTTGAGTATCATAGGACAGCCCATTGGTAAGAATAGACAGTTGCTGCTTAGTTCACACCAGAGGCAGATGAGGTAGTGAGTTGCAGTTTGGCTGACCACAGAGGATGATAGCAATTACCATGCATCCTTAATAGGAACCTAAGACATATCACAAGCTGTACAGTGTCTCTGTTAGGAATTTTACATTTAAGACTTACTTTTTATTTGTCCCCTTCACATACTGCTTCCTATGTGTTTAAATTTCTTCTTGGGAAATAATTTGTGACATAGATATATCTTTATGTATTGCATCATGAACCTGTTTGTCAAGCCCAGGTTTGCTGCAATTGATGGTGTCAACTGAAATGTGTGCGTTCTAGGGTGGTGATCCATGGACCACCTTAAACAATTTGCAACCAAAGCTTTCATACGCATAGACTTCGAAAATCAACATCCTTAAAAAACACCCGAAGGCAAATAAAACAAAACAAAACAAAGAGATCCCAAAGAAAAGCCAGAGCTCGCCATCTCCTGAACCATCCTAACCTATCATGCAGTGGTTGTGGACATCTCTTCAAATCCAACGTAGGACTCATTTCGCACATAAGAGTTATTTACAACCATATCTCTACTGGAAGTAAAGTTGATAAACTTAGGAAATTAATCTATAGTCTGTAACTTATTTAATCACACACACACACACACACACACACACATATATATATATATATATATATATATGTATATGTATATTATAGGCGATAAAAACAAATAAGCAATAATGGAAATGCGAAAGTAACTAATGTTGATAATGCTAAAAAATGTACTTGCAGAAATTCTAACGATTGCCCATTGCAAAACAAAAGTCTGTGCAATTCTCTTACTTACGCACTATTTCTATAATAGATAATCTGACTGTTGAAAGATTTTATATAGGGAGTAACAAAAATTCTTTTAAAACAAGGTGGTACCAATATATTCTATCTGTCACCAACAGCACATATAAAAATAGAACACTTAAGGTTGCTTGAATGAACTTTGAAGATGAAAGACAGAGTATGAATGTTGGTACTATTACTGTATGCCTGAATGATCTTTTTCCTCTAAATATTGCTCATTTGGGTAGATAGTAAGTCTAATACAAAACAATTTTAACCTACTCTCATTTTAGTTAAATAATTCAAATTGTGTAAAGATGACAAAATGTCTTATTAGAAAACCCAGAAAAAATAAACTCAATTAGTTTTGTGTTTTTTAGATATTAAACATTTTGTGGGATGGATAATTATGCTATTACATGATTTTGACAATTTTGCTGTTACACCTAATAAACACACACACACACACACACACACACACACACACACACACACACACACACATATATATATATATGGTAAAGATATTTGGTAATCCGTATGCATAATTCCAGGGAGGATGTAAATCCCGAGAGCTCAATGTAGTAAACAGAGCAAGCAAATTAATTAACAAATCGGTGTCTATATATTTTCATTCCCTTTCCCTTCCTCCTCTTTCCAAATCTTTCTTTACATTCACCCTTCTTCATTCCTCATCTATATATATATATATATATATATATATATATATATATATCTGTATGTATGTATGTATACTGTGTTCTCTATGCTTAATTGGCAATCAGACTATGAGAAGCACAACTGAATTTAAATTCTAAGTAGAATCGTTTGGAGACCTTGTGGCACACTGTGTTCGACAGTTCCCTATATTCTGCTGTTCTGAAAAGTGTGGTTGACTCTACTGAAGCCTTCACCACTATAATCATACGTGCAGTTAGTCGGGGCTGTTCTGTTCTAAGTATTGAGATGCTGCTGGACCCGATACATCGAAGACAACAGGATAGTCCATCATATATATATATATATATATATATATATATATATATATATATATATATATTGATATGTTTCCCCGTATCAAATGGAAACATATAAATGTTGCAGGCATATATTCACCTCGATCTTGTGTATACCATCTTTGTAGATGTCGAGGAAAAAGAGTGAATGTGAAAGTATTGATAAGCGGATGACATATAAGTTATGGAGTGGGGGAAAGCGGCGCACTTATGGACACAATAAGAAGTGAAGATTGGGGAGGCTGCGATTGGCGCATTCAATATGGCGGCGTTGGTGGCAGAAATTGCAAGATAAGCAGTTAAAGGCAAAGAAAACGAAGCCTAGCAAGTTTTTGAGAAGGTTGCAGATAGACAGTAGGAAACAGGTGAACGTCTGTGGCTCTGAAAGAAGAGAGTGTAGATAGAGGAGTAGGAGGCGGTGAAAGGAGGCTGGGTGAAAGGAGAAAAGAAGAGCTGAAGTGGAGTGAGTGAGAAATGCGCATGAGGTATGAAAGGGGAGAAGGAAAGAAATGTGGAAAGGGAGTAATAAAGGAGTTTGCTAAAATGTCAGGGAGATGAGAAGGAAAACGGGCAAAGGAAACAGATTGAGGATCCGAGGTAAGGAAGAAAAAGACAGGAATCTGGAGACGGGAAGGGAATGAAAGAATAAAATGAAGGATGAGGAATGAAGAAGGGTGAAGAGTTCGAAAAGAGGAGGAAGGGAAAGGGAATTTAAAAAAAACAAAGAAAAGTAAGAATTAAAGAAGAACAAGAATGAGTTAGATGGAGGAAAGGAAAAAATAAAAAAAGTGGGGGATCAAAGAAGACGAAACTAAAAATTGTAGTAAAGAGAAGATTGAAAGCGATGACGAATAATAATATTAATACTAATACTAATACTACTACTACTAATAATAATTTTGACTGCGTGACTAAATTTGATTTCCGTCCACTTATTCGTTTCCTTCAAATACTCAGTGAGCTGATGGCCATATTAAACAGATTCCCAAATCTGCTGATCCCGGTTCAAATCCTTGTTGAGGCTAATTCGTTTTTTTTTTCTTCTATAAATGCTGTTTGCTTAACATTTTTAGAATGCAAAACTTGCTTGTGTGCTGTGATAAAAGGTAAAAAAATCAACCATAAATTCAGATAAGTTATTCGGAGAAATATGATATACAACCGCTATATATCAGACTAACGGCGGGTAATTGAATGATAAAACAGAAAAAAAAAACACTTTATAACACAATTTGTCCTTCAAAGACTTCATCAGATTAAAATAATGTTCTTAAGAAAATTATTTTAGTCTGATGAAGTCCTTTTGAAGGACGAAAGACGTTATATAGATTTTTTTCTCCCATTTTGTCATCCAATTACCCATTATTAGAATTCGTTAGCGAAACATTCTCACTTATTAACTTGTAGTCTTACGGCCACGTCACATTGAATCACCGGCTCGCCGTAAGCTCACCGAAGTTAAGCAACGTTGAACCTGGTCAGTACATACACGAGTGACTTCTTGGGATTACCAAGTGCTATAAGATATGCGGATGATGCTATGGATCATGGCTCGGAATTGTGAATCGGAGAGCAGTGTTCCAATCCCCTTCGGCTTCGTTATATTTACTTACGCGCAAATCTCTTTGAAAAGTTATGAATCTACTTTTTGTCCCCCATCAGCTATGGGTTAATTAGTAAAAAAAAACTTGTATCACTAAACCAACTTCTTCATTATGCACCATGTCATTTCAGGAGGTAGGTGATGATATCCTTTGTTGTACAAATTTTGTCTTGTTATTTCTCGTAAACACAATTCCGCCATCCATTTTACTCAAACTCATTAAATATGTTATGTGTTGTCTTCCCTTGTTCCTCTTGTACTCAATCTGCCCTGTGAGTAACGGATTTTCCAAGCCCTCTTTCCTCATTATGTACCCTAGAAATTTCAGCTCTTTCTTCCTAATGTTCATCCTGGGTAAGACGTTAACCTACATCCGCGTCCTGGGTAAGACCTTAAACTACGTCCGCGTCCTGGGTAAGACGTTAACCTACATCCGCGTCCTGGGTAAGAGCTTAAACTATGTCCAGCAGCAAGGTGTCCGATCAGGAGGTTTTGAGGAGCGTGGAACCACATCTTAAGTGCTGGTGTTCCCAGGTCCACCCTGACCTGAGGTGGTAGCACCTGTTAAGGTCCCAGCTATGGGCAAATAGTTGTCTCTTACCAGCAATACTTTTTGGAAAAAAATTATTACCAGCAATACAATTTTGAAGGAAATATATTACCAGAAACAGATTTTTGAAAAAACAAAATATTACCAGCAATAAAAATTTTTGTCAACATTAAATAACCCATTGAGGTTGATATGTCGTAAAACAAAATAAACCAAACCAATCTAAACCAAAGAATACATATTCTATTCATACGAATCTATCCTAAAAAAGTTGTCGGCATTAAATAACCCATTGAGGTTGATATGTCGTAAAACAAAATAAACCAAACCAATCTAAACCAAAGAATACATATTCTATTCATACGAATCTATCCTAAAAATGTTGTCGGCATTAAATAACCCATTGAGGTTGATATGTCGTAAAACAAAATAAACCAAACCAATCTAAACCAAAGAATACATATTCTATTCATACGAATCTATCCTAAAAATGTTGTCGGCATTAAATAACCCATTGAGGTTGATATGTCGTAAAACAAAATAAACCAAACCAATCTAAACCAAAGAATACATATTCTATTCATACGAATCTATCCTAAAAATGTTGTCGGCATTAAATAACCCATTGAGGTTGATATGTCGTAAAACAAAATAAACCAAACCAATCTAAACCAAAGAATACATATTCTATTCATACGAATCTATGCTAAAAAAGTTGTCGGCATTAAATAACCCATTGAGGTTGATATGCCGTAAAACAAAATAAAACAAACCAATCTAAACCAAAGAATACATATTCTATTCATACGAATCTATCCTAAAAATGTTGTCGGCATTAAATAACCCATTGAGGTTGATATGTCGTAAAACAAAATAAACCAAACCAAACTTCCTGATGTTAAGTACAAGTTTCCTTTTCGTTTCTATTTTCTCTAAAACATTGTCGGTGCTCACATGTTCGGACTATGGTATCCTCAGCATCCTTCTGTAAAATAACATTTCTGTTGCTTCAAGTCTCTTCTTCATCTTTGTGGAGATTGTCAAACATTCACAGCCACATAGGATAACAGCTGTCACGTAACAGTTCATTATTCTTTTCTTTCTTCTAACGAAGTTTTCCTGTCTCCTAATACTTTGCTTATTATCTCAAAAAAATTCTCATAATCTACAATTATTTCTGGCTTTACATAAACTGCAAAGAGTTGATAAGCCATAGAAAATAAATCCATCACTATTAACTCGTGTTTCTCTCATCTGTGTTGCATATGTGATTTCAGATTCTTAAACTGAAGGATAAAAAGACGACATTACAGGCGGAGGGGGAGGCACAGCCGGAAATAAGAGCATCTGCAACAATGAGGTGGGTATCAACTCCAGAGTGGACTCACAAGAAGAAGTACATTTTGCCGCATTAAAACTAGTTCACATCGCATCCACGAATAGGTGGGGGCACATATGGCTGGGCAGCTTTCTTTCATAATTTCTCAAATTTATTTCCTATGAATTTTTTTTTTTAAAAGCGAGGATTAAATTTATAAAATGTTTGACGAGAATATAAAAAAAAATGGTTACCAGTGGGTCGCAGATAAACTATGTACTGTGTCCTTGAGGCGTGGTATACATGCAGAGACGTCTATGTATGTGTATATCCCAACCACATTGTATGCATACGTAAGATCTTTATCCAACTTTCGAGTAAAATGAAGCAGAGTCAGCTTGTTAAGCTGCTTTTACACCCTTATGCAAATTAATTATGTAGGAAGATGTGGGGAGCCATGATCACCTGCACCCTTATGCAAATTAATTGAAACAAAACTAGTAATTTCGTTGTTATTTACATTTTTTCGAATTTTTTCAATGAAACATAACCCAGTGCACATGTTAGTACTTCGTATGTCCATTTCACGAAGTTGTTCCTTGCAGATTGACCACAGATTCTCGATTGGACTTAAATCAGGAGAGTCTTCGGGCCAGTCTATATTATTTTGATTTGATCACTTGTAAGGCTTGTCAGTTTGTTCGTGTAGCATTACAATTTTCGTACGCTTCCTTGGAGTAACATTCATCGCAGACAAGGGCTCTAGGACAACTAATCGACAGTCGAGACAATAGGGTGTCTCTGTGATAAAAATCTGATGCAATCACAGATGGCGCAATATTTTTCAAGGTCAAACAAATTTCATCATACAACCCGAAAATAGAATCATATTACTGCGCACCACTGCAAATGAACTAATTCGAGAGAAAAAAAGAAAAAAGAAATCGTTTACACCCTATCACACCAGTGGGTCTAAAACTGACCGCCTGGTGAAAGAAAGGAAACTAAATTTTCAATTAATTTGTACAAGGGTGTAGAGTTTATTTTCTATCGTTAACGGTTAATGTTAAAAGATAAACTGTTTTACGGCCTCTATAAATATTGATTTAATTGAATATTTGAAAGTTAATAAAATTGTAAAACTAATAAAAATCTTAAAACGTAAACCTTAGCCGCATACCATATAAAAAACATGGCCGTGGGCCTGATCTCAGACACCGCACTTTTATAAAGGAACATACTCAAAAAAAGAAGACTCACGATTATTTACGCCCCTCAGCTTAGAATGGCATTTGGTTACAAGAGAATCGAATTCACTATATTTTCAAATTCTTAAGCCTGACATTATATGTGGGCTTGAACAATGACAACTCTCTGACAGAATTCTAGTGAAATTTAAATGGACGCTATAAAATATCGCTGTCACAGTTCTACAGTGTGGTCTGAAAGTCATGTCACCCGTATATAATAAAATTTTCTATTTCAGATAGCTGACTCGAGCTCATACAATTTGGATGAGAGGCTGCTTTGCAAGTGTATGGGAGTGACTTCATTAATATTTCTATTGTTCTCATTACTTTTTTGGTATGGGTGACAAGATATTCGGACCACCCTGCATAAGCACTTAATTAGCAAGCATGGAAAATACATAAGTTTTACAATCAAATATGTATTGATAAATGCCATTACTAATTCCAAGAAATTATTATCACGATGTGGAAAAATAAATGCAAAACTACTAAAAGAAAATGATAAATGTATGTGAAAGTCTCTGTGACACTATTTGTTATTGGTAAACATAAGAAGGTTTTTTTTTTAATAGAAGAAGCTATATACTGACAGACTCCTGATTAAAAAATAAGAAGGATTAATGAATAAATCCTGTGGGAAACTTGAAGATTTTAATTCTCATGTAGACATCCATCTGAATTGTTTGTTGGGGTTTTGAACAATGAAACACATAGGGTTGTCGTGGATTTGAACTACGACAGGTCAAATGGCAACAATGATTGACACTTGATCGATCACACACAGCTAAAAATCCAGGCTATGAATGAGAAACTTTTCTGTACAAACAACGAACTTAGAATTAATATTTACTAGTAGGAGGGTGTCTGAGGTAGCGGGCAAGATGAGACATCAAAAAAGATGGAGGAGTCACCCACGCCCACTGAGGAGAATCGAGCGAGCGAGCGAAAGAGCGAAAGAGAGAGAGAGAGAGAGAGAGAGAGAAGGAGAGAGAGAGAGAGAGAGAGAGAGAGAGAGAGAGAGAGAGAGAGAGAGACCGTTCCAGCCACCGGACGTGAGACACCCCAAGTGACTATCTGCCGACGAGAACCTCCGATATCAGCCTTGTAACAAACTTTACCAAATCGTCAAAACAAACTTTACTAAGTCAACAGAATGTCCCGTCCGACTTAGAAGTGGGTTGAGCCGATAATTGTTTGCATGCGAACTCCTAGACTTAACAACAGTTAACCAATTATTTTTTGTTTTGACTTGATATAAAAATAGTATTTATCTATTTTTAAATTATTCGAGTGTTATTTTCTTTCTTTGCGTCTTCGCCTTGCTTGGACCAGCCCAATACGAGAATACCTGATGACGATTCGATCTTGGTCGCCTTATGGTCAAAGCCAATCAAAACGTGGGATAGGTCAAGTCCTGGATCGAAGCGATCACGTCATCTATCAGCCGCAGTATTGGACGGCTTGGACGATCCGGTGGGTGTAGGGTGATACTCAACTTGGACGCGGAACGAAAAACGGTTCACAAAATTCATCCAATCAGATCTTGTCTGAAGAACGACCCAAATGCTTGTGGATAGGAAAATGCCCTGGAGGAGAAACAGGTAACACTATACAATTTAGAAAGGAACATACATCATCCGCAAACTAAGTGAAACATTCGAACATTAAAGAGATCTAAAGGAAGGCTTAAACTATTTGACTAACTTGAATCTCCATGCCCGCAAAAAGAGAAGTTTCAAAAGGACGTTTTTTTTTTCTTTCGTTGAAACCGTTATTATTTTAACTACCTTCAGTCCACGGTTTATTTTTTTTAAAAAGCGATGATTAGAATTGTGCTAAAAGCTAAGAATAAGATAAAAGTGAATTTGCACCCTTGTGCAAATTAATTGAAACAACCGCTTTAGTTTCCTTTCTTTCACCATACAGTCAGTTTTAGACCCACTGGAGTGACAGGGTGTAATTGATTTCTATTTTTTCCTCATATTAGGTCATTTGCAGTAGTGTGCAGTAATATGAATCAATTTTCGGGGTGTATGATGGAATCTGTTTGGCCTTGAAAAATATTGCATCATCCGTGATTGCATCAGATTTTTATCACACTCAGACACTATTGACTCGAATGTCGATTAGTTGTCCTACGGCCATTGTCTGCGATGGACGTTACTCCAAGGAAGCGTACGAAAAGTGTAACGTGATACGAACACACTGGCAAGCCTTACCAGAGAGCAAATCAAAGTTCTGTTGAGTGGCACGGAAACTCTCCTGATTTAAATCCAATCGAGAGTCTGTGGTCAATCTGCAAGGAATGACTTCATGGAATGCACATACGTAGTGCTAACATATTCACTGGCTCATGTTTCACTGGAGAAATATGAAAAACATGTAAATAACAAAGGAATTGTTAAGCACAACTGTTATGCAATAACGCTTTAGATTAAAAAAAAAAGATTGTTAGTTTATTCAACACGAAAGAAGTTGAAGTACAATTTGAATGATGATGATGATGATGATGATGATGATGATGCACAGTAGACATGATGATGATGAAGCTGATGATGATGATTTCTACTGTGCAGCCGATAATTGTATTTTACGTCTCTTCGGACGGCGGTGCCCTTTCTATTGCTATTTTACGCTTGCTTTGTTGTTCCTAGACCAGGAAATAATATTTATTATTAATATTTTAATGAAAAATTTTTGGTGTTCATATATCGCGATTTTTCTAGAATTTTCCAGATACTCCGCGATATATTTTCCATATATATATTTTAAAAATCCGCGAAGTCGTGAATCTGCGATAGTAGAACCGCGAATTAGCGAGGGATCAATGTAATTATTAAAACAATTTTTTATTTTTTTTTAATATTTTCTTTTTTGTTTATTATTTTTTATTGTCAATTCTCAAAAACAAATAAAATTAATAAACCCACTTTCACGTATTTAATAATAAAAAAAAAAACACTAAAGATCTAGGAAGTGTTTTAGCAGAGGACGTTAAGTGTGACATTAAAACCCGAAGGTGTTTTAGGAGAGCCAAAGATGCCTTCCAGAACCTAATTAGAGTATTAAGAAACAGAAAAACCTCGCTAGAAACAAGGAAAAGAAAATGTTACATGATATCTGTCCTCCTGTATGGCAGTGTATGTTGAAGAATCACCTCAAAGATGAAAAAGAGACTTGAAATAACATAAATTTGGTTCTACAGAAGGATGCTGAGTATATCCGATTATGTGAGCAACGACCAATTTTTGAGAAAATGGAGAGAAGAAGGAGACTTATAATTAACATCTGGAAGAGACGGTTGAATTTTCTAGGGAACATACTGAGGAAAGAGAGTTTGGAAAATAGGACACTCACAGGACAGATTGAAGGCAAGAGGGACAGAGGTAAACAATATTTAGGGAGCTTGAGCAAATGGATGGCAGAACATTGTTTAAAAAAAAACAAAACAAAAAGACAAAATTTATTAAGAGCTACAAAGGACAGAATGCTGTGGAGAGCGATGACCGGAAGGTGGTGCCGTTGTTTTTCTTCCGATATAGGAAGCCATGTGAGCATTAGGATCTCCTTCCGCAAAATCACATTGATAAGAAATTGTGAAGAGTCGGGATCTCTTATGTTCTGAAGAGACGCGGTACATAGACAGAAATCTAAATGATGTCTTTCGACCTTCAAAAGGACTTCATCAGACTAAAATAATTTTCTTAAGAACATTATTTTAATCTAATGAAGTCTTTGAAAGACGAAATGTGTTATAAAGAGTTTTTTTTTTCTGTTTTATCATTCAATTATCCACCATTAATCTGGTATATAGTATTTATATATCATATTTCTCCAACATTCGAATAACTTATATGAATTTATTGTTTATTTTTTTGTACCTTTTATTACAGCACACAAGCAAGTTTTGCATTATGTTAAGCAAACAGTATTGACAGAAAAAAAAAAAAACGAATTAGCCTAAAATAATGATTTGAACCGGAATGAGAAAATTTGGGAGTCTGTTTTATATGGATCTCAGCTTACTGAATATTTGAAGGAATCGAATAAGTCAAAAGAAATCAAATTTAGTTTCAATCGACGAAAAGTGCCCGGAAAAAAATAGTCGGTTTCACAAGGCAGCGGGTAATGTCAGACTAACAGATTAAGAGGCACAGGTTATGGAGATATGTGCAGAAGATAACAGTTGACCCTAGATTTGAACAGGTTAAGATTATGAACCCATGCTATGTTGGATATATTAGCACATACAGGAAAGCGAATTTGTTGTCGTTTTCTTTCTCCATTGTGAACTGTATCACTGATGTTATTGAGTTCACATTGTCCAGTACTAACTGGACCTCTTCCTGATGTGGCCAGAGTATGAAGATGCAATCTACGTATCACAGTCATTGGGTTGGCTTTACTGATGTGGCTTCTAATGCCATGAATACGTCGTGAATATGGCAATAAAGATGAGGACAACAGTCCGAAAGCTGTAAATAGTGTAAATAACTACCATACTTCATCCCAGAAATAGAGACACCGATACTGAAGAAGGCCGCATCGTACAACGGTCGAAATGTCGTGAATATGGCAATAAAGACGGGGACAACATCCGAAAGATAAAAAATAGAGTAAATAATTATAATACCTCATCTCAGAAATAGAGACCGATCCTGAATAAGGTCGCATCGTTCAACAATTATGTCAATAACGATGAGGACGACAATCTGAACAGTGCAAATAATGTAAATAATTACAATAATTTATCTCAGAAATATAGACAGATAAGTAAAAAAGAGATAAGGCTCCTGTTCAAAAAATCGAGGATGAGGATGAACCGGACGGTCTTGGGGAAGTGAACCTGTCGGAGCCCATCCCACTACATATAATGGTTGTGTGACATAAAAGAGTATGCGAGCTATTGCACCATTTATGGTTATATGGAGTGAAAGAGAATGAAAAGACTTTAGTAGGCAGAGGTAAGAAAAGGACATTAAAGAATCGGGTTTCAGATAGACGGATGATGGTGACTGACGTTGCATTTAAATTTTATAATATTGGCAGGGAAGTAAGAAATCGGGAGTTGTACAGGTCAGAAGAAACTTTTACAAGAGCAGTGAAAGTTGCATTTAACTAGTTCAACAATTTACAAAAATGATAGAATATATATTTTTAAAAAGAAAATATAATTAAAAAAATGTTAAATAGGCGAAAGGAAAATAGATGCACTGAAAATCAAAACAGAGTCTCCAGTAATGAAAATCGAAACAGAGGATCCAGCATTAAAAATCGAACCAGAGGTTCCAGCATTAAAAATCGAAACAGAGGCTCCAGTATTGAAAATCGAAACAGAAGCTCCAGCATTAAAAATCGAAACAGAGGCTCCAGAATGAAAGCGAAAGGAAAAAGTTTAAAGCAAAAAGCGAATGAGATCCAAACAGACGATAATAAGTCGATAATAACCTCAAATAAAATCTCTGCGACTCCCATTTGATTGTGAAACTTGTAAAAGAATACTTTTCTTTCATGGTGCCATAAATCAGCGATATAGATCCGTATCAGAAGAGTAAATGCCACAAGTTGAAACTTACTCACCCACTCCTGCACCAGTATCTCTACGACATACCTTACCTGATATTAATCTTTTATCGGTTAACTCCACCTTTGTAACCGAAAAAAAAGCCCATCACTTTTTACGAGTTCCATATCACTGCAACACCTCCCTCCAAAGTATTTGCAGCGTATACAGCCGATAGTGAACAATTGAGACTCAAGGTCGTAATTTCATACACTCGCGCATTAGTATATTAATTCAAATTTATAAGATGCCTAACTCATTTGTAGATCTTCAAATATGAAACTAATTCTGATCATATCAAATACCCTTGTGTGAAATGCAAGTAAAATAGCTATTTTTTTTTTTACTCCAAGACGATAATGCCACTAAGACATTGTGACTGACGCTGCATTTAATTCATTTCCAAAGCTGCAATTCAACGGCAATTTATTATGTTCTGTTAGTTGTTCAAATCGTGGTTTCGTTATCGAGATCCGCCTGGGAACTACTAGGAAAATATTTGAGATGTTTTCTAGTCAATTTTTCTGTTCATCAAAGAGTAAAAAAGACATTATTAACTTGTGCCGAATTCTTGGATATTTCCTTCCTAGACAGTACCCATAAAACATTTCATTGTCAATATGTTTTTATATAGGGAAAACCTTTAAGCGTTACCAGACTCTAAATATAATTTCACTTTTCGCTAGGATTTGTAGAGTTACAATGATTGTAAGAAATTATAATTTTAATTTTGACGGTCACATAATACGCAAGGCCATAAGATTACCATTTAGTTTCGACTGAGTAACACCTATGGAGAGTGTTCTAGATCGTTAGAATGTGTACATTCCTATCTTTAATAAAATATATTAGGGTTGATCCACTTTAAGCAACCATGAAATTTCTCTTTTTCATTTATCTTTACAGCTTCTTTTTTATTGGATTCAGCAATGATTGTTCCTTTATATGTCCCTATGTTCCGCCTTGCTTCTTTTCCAACTTTTCTGGCTTTTGATATACCCTGTGAGTATTAAACTCACCAAGTCTCCATCCTCATTATGCGTCGAAAATATTTTAGCTGTCACTTTTTGATAGTTATCGGCAATTTCTTTCTAGTTGGTGTGCCTCAGGATAATGAAATGGTTAGTGATCAAGTCAGATCGACCATTTCTACTGATTAGTAAATTCGATCCTCATTGGGTACCCCATATGTGCTATTGTATCAAAATTAACTACGGTTAAATGGATAAACCGGAGTAAGTCAAGGTAAGGTACAAATTAGCTACCCCGTCTGCTTGATCATTCTTAATGCGTTGTGAGTTTGATCTACACTGGCTGCCCCATACATTTAATTTTGTGCTGGCACCTCAAGGCGGTGTAATGGTTTACAAGCTTCTCTCGCTAGAACAATTACGACTGAATAGTGAGTTCGATACACACTGGGTGCCCCATACTTTCGGCCTTGTGCCACATCTAAGCTACGCTTGGAAAATCTCTACATTTAATCTTGTGCCCAAATTAATATAAGGTTAGCAATACTGAAATAACAACGAGTGATGGAATAATGTTTACAAAGCTGAACTGGTTGAATATTATTATTGGGTAGACTGTTCTTGTTCCACATGCCATGTCTAATGGATGTCAGTTTTCAGTTATCTCCTGTTAATTCCCCTCTCTAAGTTCTTCACTGCCTTAACCGGGTATTGAACTCACACACTTTGGGTCCTGTCACTGGATCTAATCAACGCCTTTATCCACTGTGCCATGTGTCCTAGAGCCCCAGTGAGCGAAATAAATGGTTCAGTTCGACATTCCAACCACCTGAAGAAGGCCGGAGCGTACAACGGCCGAAATGTTGTAATAAATATGTCGTCAAAGATGAGGACAATAGTCCGAATAATATAAATAGTGTACATAATACCTCATCTGAAAAATATAGACAGGTACTAAAGCGCCGAAACGTTGTAATAAATATAGCGACAAAGATGAGCATAATAGTCCAAATAATGTAAATAGTGTACATAATACCTCATCTCAGAAATATAGACAGATAAAAATCTTAGTAATTAACACGTAGCTAGTGGGGTGGGGAAAAGAGGCGGTTTCATACCTTAGGGTATTGGCGCGTAAGTGAATATAATTAAACAAGCGGGAATTAGAACTCGGACATCCGATTAACAATTCTGAGCGCTTATGAATAACACCACCTGCACATCAAAGCTTACAGCATCCGGTATTCCCAAGCAGTCATCTATGTACTGACCTTGCTCGACGTTGCTTAACTTCGGTGATCGTACGAGAATCGGGGTTTCAATCTCGTATTCTTGATAGACGTTACTGCAATAACGTTACATCTATTCTTCTTTTATGCGCTCTGTAACTTCAAGAGGTGGGCGATTTGGGCTCTCCACATCTTATTATTATTTCTAGCTCTAAGCAATATTTATGCTCGGTTCATTTTCTGGTATCTCTTTACACAAGCCCTTCGGGTATGTTACGCGGTTTTTCTTTGTCTCTCTCGCTTTCAATATGTCCTATACACGTAACATTGGTCAAGTCTCGTTTCCATATTATTCGTCCCAGAAATTTTAGTTGTACTTTTCTGATTCTATATACAAGAGTAAGCTTTTCTCTGTTATCCTTAAAACCTTATTTGTCTCGTCCATGGTATTTTTACCATCCTTCTGTAGAACCAAATCTGTTTCGGCAAGTTACCGCTTCATCTGCGAGGAAATTTTCCACCATTAACTGTCACGCAGGTGTGAGTTTTTTTCGGCATATCAACTCTTTATGTATCATTCAATGCGGAAATTTAATTTTCTTGTGCGAATTAGTAATTTATTATGAGTAATTAGTAATTTCTTCTACAAAAATGTATTTTTAGTAATTTTTTTTAACAAGAATGTAAATAAAATCTTTTTTTTTCAAAAATGTATTGTCGGTAATATATATATATATTATGTATTGCTAGTTTTATTTTATTTTTTTTTTCAAAAATGCATTCCTGGTAATATATATTTTTTTTTTTTAAATTTTTGCTGTTAATTTTATTTACTACGAAAATGTACTGCTAGTATTTTTTCTAGAAAATATATTTTTTATTATTTCCTAGTATTTTGACGCCTGTTTTGGTTAACTATTTTCGCATAATTGGGACCCTAACAGGTGCTACCACCACGGGTCAGGGTAGTCCTGGGAACACCAGCAATTAAGAGATGATTCCACACTCCTCAAAACATCCCTATCAGAAGCCTTGCTGCCGGATATAGTTTATCGTCATACCCAGGATGGTCCATACAGGAGGATTGACAAGTAACATTTGAAAACTATTACCTTTGTTTCCAACGGAACTTTAATTTTCTACAGATGACATCTTATTGATGACAGGCAGAAAAATGAAACTGCAGGGAGTTCTAGACTAATTATGTCACTGCAAAGACAACCGAAGATGTATCGTATATATCGGCGGACAAGGCGGCCTTTTAACCTTAAAAAATCCTACCCAAAATAGGGAGCCCACTTGTACTCTTGTGAAGCTTAAATCCTGTGGTTTATGGTAAGCTTTTAGCATGGGAGACTTTGGACGGTAGGCCACCCCATGCCTTGTTAACTGTCGATACAAATATTTTCTACTAAAAACAACTTATTTTTACATTATTATAATAAAAGTGTAGTGTAATAAAAGTAATCTTACCTTATACAATATGTGCTATGATTTCAGGACAACAATACAACGCCTATTCGTCAAGAGAAAAATTCTAAACTTTCATCACGGTATTTACTCTGTCCTCCCAATTGAACAAGATGTGACACAAGGTGTATTTTCAGGTGGGGACCCAAGCGCGTACACCCGGGACAGGAACAAAAATTCCCCTCAGCCCGCGCAACCGTCGGTTGGGCTGGCTTCAGTGCGAGCACCGATTCTTCCCTCTGTTGTAAAAGAAGGGCGCAGCCTCGGGCAGGTGTTCCCCAAGGCTGGTCACCTCTTCAGTATAATTTTCTCAATTGCCCCACTGTCATTTGACAGAGAAGCCCCCGGGCGCACTCTGCCCAAAGACAGAGACGCAACAAAGAGATGATAAGTAGATGTGAACTTACTCCAAATATCTAAACTTTCATCACACACTTTAAGCAGAGCAACTGCTGGCCTTGTCGGGGTAAAGGTACAACTATATAGTGGTATTTACTTCTCAAGAGATTCGAACCCGGGTCTCGTGGTCATTTTTATTTTATTAAGACGACATATTTCATGTCTAAATTTTGTTCACGAAGATTTTAGTATTGCACACACGTATATTGAGGGCGTTGTTTAATTTCAAGTCACTTTTTGTTTTTTTATGTTCTTTTCTTTAAATTTCGAGATGTTTCGCCGATATATTTTAGTGTCACCATTTACATCCCCCACCAAAAAAAGAAAAAAAAAACACTACATTTTAAAATTCGGGGGTCGTCTTGTACGGCGAATATAACCAGAAAGCTACGTTTTAGCTTGAAAATATGGAAGTCTCCTTGTACGTTAGCATGTACAGATTAAAAGTTGCATTAACGTAAAATTAAAAAAAAAAATTTCTTTCCTGTTCTTTTTATTTTGTGAAATCTTTCTCTTCCAAATTGTAAATCACATCCGTTTAAATATGGACGTTCATTTTGTTTGGGCTTATTGTACTTTGTTAGTGATTCCGACTCCAGGCGGATATGATCATTCACGGGGAATCAATGAATAAATAACAAGATGATTTCAGTTTGTGATATCTGAAATCGGAATATCTCTCACGGTATGCTGGAAAGATTTCTTTTCACTTTCGTTTTTCTCTCAGATTCGCATTTTTTTTCCTCCTCGAGAGGTACAAATAAGCTTATTGTTATCAGCGAAAAAAAGGATTCTTCAATAACTTTATACTATCTCTCTTCTGTTAGTTAATCTGTTGGACACTGCATGCGTCTGTTCTACTTTGACGAGCAATCAGACTCTCTACTCAACGCACAATGATTTTGTCACGCTAACCACTAATGGCACCCAATCGATACGCGATGACAGCTACTACTAAAACCATATCTACTGAGCTCAGTTACATTAATATTCATTCTGAATGACGACAGAAAGTTTGTTTTTATTCAGATATTGTAGAGTAGACAAAGAGTGATGTTTACCTTTTCTATTCAATTTTCAAACGCTTTATATTAATGAAATGTCGATAAAAATACGTAACCCTCCATCATTGTATTCAAGTTTACGTAGGTACCTCCACGAGATCGCTAAAAAAAAGAGGATAGCATGATGAAAAAGACGCCAAACTTGACGAAAACAAAATTTTATCGTCTAAATGTTTGTTATTATTAAGAGGAAAGGTCAAAGTATTTTGGGGTATTTTTTTTCCATTTTTAATCGTTCCTAGCACGTCCGAAATTTTCGTTAAAAATCTAGTTTTTTTAGTCAGCAAAATTGACCATTTTTTCCATTTAAAAAAAAAACTGGAAATCTGACTTTTGAATTTTTTTAAATGTCAATTATCATTTTTCAAAACTTATTTTAAGAAAATCAGAAATTATAATCTTTATTTAAAATATTTTGAACCAAACTTAACTTAGCTTTTGTGTCAAAAAAAGATGTAATTTGAAAATAAATCAAAGCAGGTCATAAACTTTCGCGTCTCTTGACATGTGATGAATGATATATTTACGAATTCCATGAGGCTAATTTGTTCTACGGAAGGAGAAAAGTGAAATAATTTACATTTACGTGAACAAATTATTTACCCCGTTATTTTAACGAAAACTTTCAGCGGTCTAATTTTTTTTTTTGTACTTAGCTTTCACCTTTACGTTTATGATGCTTCATGGGAAATATATTGTAAAAGAAATTAAAATAAAACTGTTAAGAGTGACATTAAATTTCATATTTCTTAAGAAAGGTATCTAATTAATTTATAGGTACCTTTCTTATGAAGTTTTATCAGAATTGTACATAAAATACTATAATTTTATGTACATTTATTACATTCTACTGTTATTTGTATTTGTATTCATTTTATTATTAATTTTGATATTTCATTTATGGAAAAATGTCGTAACTGAGATTAATATAAAAATAAGATCATATAAATTTCATAAGATGATACTGATACTTGTAGGTAACCTTCTCAGTTGAAATTGAAAAATCAAATTAACTTCTCCACACGTGTTTCGCAAAAGTAAAGGCCTTAACAGCGGAGAACAATGCTTAACTCAAATAACGCAACTTAATTATATTCTGGTTGGTCTTCCGTATTTTATAATTACAGCTCGATTATAAGCACAAAATTACATTTCTTAATTACTGGGGATCTTCTGATTAGTCAAGGACACTTACATAAGGACACTTATGAAAGCCAATGCGGCTTTTAACTAATTTTATAATATTTTAACAACTTAAATGTAAAATCTATTATAATTAATGAAATAACAAATAATTGTATTAAAAATTCATTTTTCATCGAAAAAATTTTTTTGCTTTCAGAAAATATTGTCCATATTCATAAAAACAACTAAAAGCAAATAAAAGCATTTGAAATTAAATAATATATTTGTTTTATTGAGTTTTGTATGTTACAATTCAGAGCTGATTTTCAGGTACTGCGTATCCAATTAAAAACAAAAAAAAACATGTTTGCATTCCTCAAAGCCCTGTGCTTTTAATTATTGTAATCACTAAAACCGATGCGATCGAATTTCTAGCGTTTTCATAAAATTAGTTATGTGGGGGTAATAAATATTTAAAAAAAAATATTTCTACCATGACTTTCATAAAAAAAAACATATTTATAATAATTTCGATCATGTGTGAATAGTTTCTGAAAGTTTCATTAACATCCGATAATTATTTCTATTTTTGCATGATTTTTCAAATTAATGTGTGTCATACCAAAAAACGTGCTAAAAAAATTGTCTATGTTATTTACTAGTTCCGCTGATACAAATAGAAAAAAGGTTTTTTAATCAAAATTTAGAATGTTCTAAAAAGAAGGAAAATTTTTAAAAATAATTAAAAAAAACTTTGGTCTTTCCTCTTAATAATAACATAAGCATTTAGACAATAAAATTTAGTTTTCGCCAAGTTTGGCGTCTTTTTCGTCAAGCTATGCTCTTTTTTTAGCGATTTCGTGGAGGTACCTAAGTTTACGTAATATCTATATATGTATATAAAAATAAATTTGTATGAATAAAGTTGGGTCAAGATAAGTAAATATATAAGGCAATTTGGGAATCTTCATTTCATCAGCAGAATAAAATGTGATGCACGTTGAGCAGCTTAAACTTAATATTATAATTGAAATTTA